AATGAGTTCATGTGTCACCTCAGACACGCGTGTCCTAGGTTCGCCATCACTGGTATAGGGAATATAGTCAATAATATTGTAATAACTATGTATGGTGTCAGGTGGGTACTGAAAATATTGGGGGGAACACTTTACTACAGACATAAAATTAATATTGAATGTAAACTGTCATTTAAAAATCTAGTTGATGCCCTGACTGGTTTGGCTCAGTGGATAGAGCATTGGCCTGCAGACTGAAAGGTCCCAGGTTCAATTCCAGTCAAGGGCATGTACCTTGGTTGTGGGCAAATCCCCAGTAGGAGGTGTGCAGGAGGCAGCTGATTGATGTTTCTAACTCTCTATCCCTCTCCCTTCCTCTCTGTAAAAAATCAATAAAATATATTAAAAAAAAATCTAGTTGAATTGTAGGACACCCAGCTGGTGATATGGGCAAATCTACACTTTAGAATTGTTGGAGCTGAATCTTACCTGGAAATTTTTATTCAGTAGGTTTAGGGTAGATTCTGGGAATATGTTTTAACAAGAGCTCCTAGGGATTCTTATCTTCTGGCAAATTTGGGAAACCATGATTAAAAGCATTATGCCCAGGAATTCACAATAAAGGCTTTGATCCCAAATGTGGAGTCTCAAACACACATACCTAAATAGTACAGTGTATAGGTTTTTAAAATTGTAATAATAAAATAGACCTTATATTTGAAGAGCATCCTATACTTACTTTATCACATATGCTATAAATATTACCACATTAGAATCTTTTAACAGCCTAGTAAACTATTAAAAGGGTAGGCCAATGAGTCTTGTACCCATTTTAGGGATGAGGAAACACTGCCAGGGTGTAGCTTGTAATATAATTGGAGAGAAAATAAATATGCATTAAATGATGCAAGAACAAAACAAAGCAATACGCCTACTTTGTAAAAGAATACCTTATGACACAGAATACAAGGTCTGAGGAATATGGAGCCCAAAGGTTGCCTGGGCAAGTAGGAGTCCAAAACCTCCCAACAGTAGGAGATATGTCTGGGTTTGGAAACTTAGTTATTTCTTATGGTACCAGGAATTTTTTCTATACTGGATTCTCATGTGAACTGTACCAGTTACATTTTCTACAACTACATACTGTACCAAAAACCAGTCTGACCTGCAAGGGAAGTACAAGCTTTGGTCCTTTTGCAATGCTCTGCTGCCTAACCAGTTTGTGTTTGCAAAATGACATGTGGCTGGGTCAAGATGGAGATGACCTAGTAAAGGGAGGGTGGTTGTTGTATGAGGCATGACTAGGAGGCTTTATGGGCCTACTTAGGGCCTCAGATGCTGTGGTGTTGAAGGATTTCATTTCATCCAGTTGTATTGATGTTTTTTCTGAATCAGTCATGGGTGCTGGCAGCTGAGGAATTCATTGTCTAGGTAGGAGGGAAAGGAAGACATATGTGTGGCTAGTGATGATGTAAGTCAGGAAGCATTGCAAAGCAGAATAAGCAACATTCTATGGTGATGGAGCAGGAGTCATGGAAGTCCCATTTGTTTATTTTTGCTTTTGCTTCTCTGCCTCAAGGGGACATATAAAAAAAAGATATTACTCAGACTGATGTCAAATGGTTTACTACCTATGATTTTTTCCTAGGGGTTTTATGGATTCAGGCTTTACATTAAAGTCTTTAATCCATTTTGAGTTTATTTTTGTATATGGTGTAAGAAGAGTGATCCAGTTTAATTTCTTGCATGTATCTGTCCAGGTTCATGATACCACAAGCTACTGAATGGGAAAACATTTTCTCAAATGATATATTCAATAAGTCAATTTCCAAAATATATAAGGAACACATGAAATTCAATAACAAAAGATAAATAAACAATACAATACAAAAATTGGCAGAGGACATGAAGAGCCATTTCTCCACAGAAGACATATAGATGGCCAACAGATGTGAAAAGATGCTCAACATCACTAATCATCAGGGAAATGCAAATCAAAAGCACCATGAGATATTTCCACCTCACACATGTCAGATGGCTATAATTAATAAATCAACAAACAACAACAAAAAACCAATGAACAACAAGTGTTGCCTATGATATGGAGAAAAGGGAATCCTTGTGCACTATTGGTGGGACTGCAAATTGGTGCAGCCACTGTGGAAAACAGTATGTAGAGTCCTCAAAAAACTAAGAATAGATCTACCATAGTACCCAGCAATTCCACTTCTGGTACTTATCTGAAGAAAACAAAAACACTAATTTGAGAAGATATATGCACCCCTGTGTTTATTGCAGCATTATCTTTAAAAGCCAACATATGGCCGAAACCGGTTTGGCTCAGTGGATAGAGCGTCGGCCTGCGGACTGAGGGGTCCCGGGTTCGATTCCGGTCAAGGGCATGTACCTGGGTTGCGGACACATCCCCAGTGGGAGATGTGCAGGAGGCAGCTGATCGATGTTTCTCTCTCATCAATGTTTCTAACTCTATCTCTCTCCCTTCCTCTCTGTAAAAAATCAATAAAATATATTAAAAAAAATAAAAGCCAACATATGGAAGCAACCTAGGTGTCCATTGATAAATGAATGGATAAATAATTGAATAGTATGCAGCTGTAAAAAGAATGAATTCTTGCCATTTGCAATAACATGGATGAACCTAGAGGGTATTATGCTGCTAAGAAGTGAAATAAGTAAAACAGAGAAAGACAAATACCATATAGTTTCACTTATATGTGGAATCTTAAAAAAAAACAACCACAAAATAAATGAACAAAAATAGACTCAGAAACAGAGACCAAAGGTTTGGTTGCCGGATGAGAGGGCGTGGGAGGATGGGTGAAAAAGGTGAAGGGTAATATAATTAATAATATTGTGATAGGTTTGCACTGTGACAGATGATTACTAGAATTACAGTGGTGATCACATTGCAATATATAAAAATGTTGAATCACTATATTGTACACCTGAAAAATTATTTTAATGGAAAGCTTCACGAATTTCCACAGGGGACATGCTAATCTTCTCTGTGTTATTCCAATTTTGGTATATGTGCTGCTGAAGTGAGCACGTACACCTGAAATTAATATAACTAATATAATATTGTACACCAACTATATTTAAATTTAACAATTAAAGAAATAGTTCTCAAGGGAGATTCTGGAAGTTTATTTGAGGACATGGCATTTCCCCTGGGCCTTGAAAGATAGGTAGTATTGCAAAGACAGAGAAGGACACTATTAAGTAGAGAGAATCTGTGAGAAAAGGCATCAGAAGCCTGAGCCCAAGGGATATCTCCTGGCAGCCCATTGCTTACATGGGCAACTGGGGAGAATTCTTTGGGCCTTATGCTTGTGGGGAGGGGACCTGTGGCAGCTGTACCTTGCTCTTCCTTTCAGAAATTAAAATTTAATTTTGATAATTCTATTTGTTTTATGGGACAGTCATAGTATTTTTAAAATATAGTTTTGTTGATTTCAGAGAGGAAGGGAGAGGGAGAGAGATAGAACATCAATGGTGAGAGAGAATCATTTATCTGTTGCCTCTTACACACCCCCTACTGGGGATTGAGCCCACAACCCAGGCATGTGCCCTTGATCAGAATCAAACCCAGTACCCTTCATTCCGCAGGCCAATGATCTATCCACTGAGAAAAACCGGCTAGGGTTTGATAAATCTATTTTTAATGATACTTCAAGGGGCCTATGGTTGTTACTAACTGACCACCTTTCAAAGGGGATGATTTGAGGTAGCCAACACTGGTTGGGTTTTCCCAGGCCCTGCTGTCTTTCGTGGATGGCCAGTTGTTTGGGTTAGAGTATTGGGTGCATCAGAGAAGGATTACAGAGGGCCTTATATCCCATGCAAAGGGGTGTAGGTAATGCTGAGATATTGGGAAGTTTTCAGTCACCTATACATCTTAGATAAATCCCTCTGATTGCTGTCTGGGAGATGGTGTAGACAAAGGCAAGGATAGAAGGAGAGAGTCCAAACAGGAGGCTGACTGAGAAAAAGGTCATGGGGCCTAAACAGCACTGAAGATGGAGTGGAGAAATTTGGTCAGTAGGACACATCTTAGAGGTAGAATCAACTAGCCTTTGGTACTCACTGGATCTGTGAGTGTGTGTAGGGGAGTAAGAAGCGGGAAGAGTCAAGGGTGGCTGCATAACAAGTGCAAAGGCAGAGGGCACTTCTGTAAGTCTCTAGTCTCCTCAAGGAGCATAGAGA